CAAGCGGTGGTGTAGCAATACTAGTAAACAAATCCATCGAGGCGATACAAATTCCAATAGTCAGTGATTTGGAGGCCGTTGCTATCAGAATCACATCTACCAGTTTAGTATCTATTTGCAATGTTTACCTTCCTTGTGACAAACAAGTAAGTTCTGATAGCCTTTGCAGGTTATTAGAGCAACTGCCACGTCCTCGTATAATTCTAGGCGACTTTAATGCTCACAACATAATATGGGGTTCAGATCACACGTCTGTCAGAGGTTCAAGTATTGCCGATATCTTAGATCAACTTAATATAAATTTTCTTAATGATGGTAGCCCTACAAGATTCAATATTTCAACAGGATATTCCTCATGAATTGATTTAACTCTCTGCGACCCAAATTTAGCTCATTGCCTCAGTTGGGATGCTCAAACCTATACATATGGTAGTGACCATTTTCCAATCCTAATTAGAAACCATAATTATCCCTCATCAGGACCCATATTCATATCTAAGTGGAGAAAAAAAATGCAAATTGGCAAAAGTTCTCAGAATATATCGATAATAACATTTCCAGTTTGCATATAACAGACGATGTTAACTCGAAAGTAGAGCAGTTTAATCAACTTATCTTAAGCGCCGCCCACAAATTTATTGGTAAATCTAAATCTGTTAAAGGCCGATATCCTGTACCATGGTGGAATGACCGTTGTGCGATAGCAATCCGTGAAAGTAAATCAGCCCTAAACCGATACAAAAAACATAAAACATCCGAAAATAAATTAAAATTCAAAATGCTTAAAGCAAGGGCACAGCTAACTGTCAAAACGGCTAAAAAATATTCATGGAACAAATACGTATCGGAAATTAATAGCAATACCCCCCTCTCTGATGTCTGGAACAAAGTAAGGAAAATTTCTGGTTTACATACTTCATATAATTTCACGGGGCTAAAAGAAAATAATAATTTCATAACATCGAGCAGCGATATTGCAAACATTTTTGGAAGAATCTATCAAAGCCACTGATCGAATCAACAGTATACCACCAATTTTCTCAAAGCCAAAGAATTCGCCGAACAAAACCCTATTTATCTGTTTGAAGCAGAAAATAATTCATTAAACCATCCCATCACTTTTCAAGAGATAAACTCATCTATTCTTAACTTGAAGGACTCTAGTCCTGGGCCTGATGATATTCCTTCAGCATTTCTGAAACATCTCCCTGTTTCAGCCATAAGGTATCTCTTAAACGTATTCAACAGAATTTGGCTTCACCACCAATGGCCAGCTATTTGGTCAAATGCAATAGTCATTCCTCTCCTAAAATCTAATAAACCTAAATATGACCCAGAATCATATCGACCCATATCGCTGACATCGACAACCTGCAAATTACTAGAAAATATTGTTAACTCCAGACTCTCATGGGTTTTAGAAAATTCCAATTTCTTAATCTCAGAGCAAAATGGCTTTAGAAAAGATCGGTCATCCACAGACAACATTTTAGATTTAGAAAGTGAAATACATGAAGCTCTTGCTACAAACCAAAAATGTGTTGCTATATTTTTTGACTTAGAACGTGCATTTAATAAAGCTTGGAAATACAACATTTTAAGACAACTTTATAAATGGAATATTCAAGGTCACTGCCTTGCTTTCATCCAAAACTTTTTAAATAACAGATCTTTTCAAGTAAAAATAAATAATATCTCTTCAAATATTTATAGTTTGGAAAATGGTACACCCCAAGGATGCATACTCAGTCCAACACTATTTCTGGTAGCAATAAACGACATCATCAAAAACATTCAAGCACCCTTACAGGCTCGTTTATACGCTGATGACCTAGTGGTATCTATTAAAGGTAAAAATATTTCCTCAATATCATCAATTCTTCAAAACTTTTTAGATACTCTCGAAAATTGGTCGAACTTCACAGGTTTTCAATTTTCAATAGAAAAATCAATAGGAGTCGTATTCTCTTCAAGCTCCTTGCCACAACCTCCTAACCTAAGAATGTATGAGAAACAGCTGGAGTTTAGAGATCACCACAAATTCTTGGGTTTAATCTTCGATTCAAAGTTAACATGGAAAAATCACATCTCACAACTCATCCTTTCCTGTAATAAAAGAATAAACGTATTAAGATCTCTCTGTAATAAAAACTGGGGCTCAGACCAATCCACTCTACTCCTCCTGTATAAATCTTTAATACGTTCAAAGCTAGATTATGGAGCAATTGCCTATTCCACTGCTAATAAATCTCTACTGAAATCATTAGATATTATTCATAATAAAAAGTCTTAGACTAATCTTAGGGGCTTTCCCAACTACACCTGTATCCAGCATTTATGCTCTTTTAGGAGAACCATCGCTACATCACCGCCGCATGTACCTCGCTCTATCACATGCAGCCTCAGTCGCTGGAAATATTTCAAAGCCAATATATCAAAATACTTTTACAAATAAATATGTAAACGTATTCCAAGATATTCGCTATACTAAAAAACCATATTACGAAAGAATTAAATCCATTCTTCAAAACCTAAACATTAATTTTCCGGAGGTTTTCTCCTCAGATATTAAATACCCCGAGCCTTGACTAATCGATATACCAACTTGTGATGCATCTCTAGAGTATATAGATAAATCTAATACACATCATTCTCTGATTCGGTCCAAGTTTAAGGCCCTCATAAATAAGTACCCCGACTACCATAAAATCTACACAGATGCATCTAAATCCGAAGACGGAGTGGGGGCATCAATCGTTTCTTCAGAAAACAATCTTCTTTTCCGTTTACCCTTAGCATGCAGCACATATTCAGCTGAACTCTACGCCATATACCGTGCTGTGAAACTTCTTAACGAGCTTACACTCACTAAAACCCTTATCATAACAGATTCCCTTAGCTCTCTAAACTCATTAAAACACATTTTTCCGAAACATCCTTTTAAAAAGTTGCTAAAATACCAGCTTTCCCAAGCTCATGAACATGGAAGAAGCGTCCAATTTTTATGGGTTCCCTCACACGTTGGAATAACAGGAAATGAAGAAGCTGACAGGATTGCACGAGAGGCTATTTTAAGTGACTTGTCGGAGCCGATAGACAAGTGTGTTTCCAGTGACTTAAAAGCTTATTTTAAAAATAAAGTGTTGTGTTTGTGGCGAAATGAGTGGTCTCGAACTAATTCCAATCTAAATAAAATTAAAAATAATGTGTCTCAGTGGTTTCCATCGTCGCGCAATAGACGGGAACAAATTGCGGTTGCGCGTTTACGTCTAGGACATACCAGATTAACGCACTCCTACCTTTTCACAAAGAATAATCCACCTATATGTGATCAGTGTAACGTCCGATTAACAGTCGAACACTTTTTAATAATTTGTAGTAAATATGACCAAGAAAGACAGCGCTACAAGATCCCAAACGCTCTACCACAGGCTCTAGGTCAAAACTGTTCCTATGAAAATATAGTGAATTTTCTTAAATCCATAAACATTTTGTACAATCTGTAGGTGTCTAACTTTGTTATTTATATTTTGTTCCGTCGCTAATAACCTTTTGGTGGATGCGACATCTTTTTCTAATAAAAAAAAAAAAAAAACAATACATATAAGTCAGCAAATGTTTATCTTCAGACAAATTTAGATGTATACTTACCGAAGAATTTAATATTAAAATTAAAAACCCACAAACAGATACACGTAATGTTTGTGACAGCATAAACGTCGCTCTTAAGAATGCCGATTCAAAAACTGATGAACGCGCTATACAAGAGTTAAAATTTAACAAGAATTGCATTACCGAAAAGCCAAAGCTGGCCAAGACGCACTAAAAAAAGCGACTCTGGAGGCCTCAATATCTGATAGAATTTTAACGTTCATTGAGTGGTGTAGTTGTGATTGTATTTATTGCATTGTACTTTTGTTTCCTATCCTTCTCATTTTTTCTGATAAGCCCTTTAGATATGGTATTGTTGTCATCTTTGAGTCCCTTCTTGTGAGTGTTTTTTGACTGTTTGTGGTGTTGTGTTGTTTCCTTGCATCAATCTTGTGGAATTCCGTGTTTATAAATAACAGTTTGTAGTCAATTTTAGTCAGTACTTTTATTAGCATGCATTCCAATTAGAGCAGGAGCTTCGGAATCCAGTGGCGCACCCAGGGGGAGGGTTTGGGGGTTAAAACCCCCCAGGACCCTATTCCGACACTGGTATTCACAAATTTTAAGGACTTAAAATGGTGGAGGTAGCATAAAAAAATTTCGGTGCCCAACCATACCCCCTCCCCCCAGAGGAAAATTCTAGGTGCGCTACTGTCGAGATCTATCATATAGGGATTTAATAATTCCTTTTTTATGTTTACGCTGTGATTGGAGTGGTAATTTAAATAACTGTTCATATGGGTTGGTTTTCAGTAGATTTGTTAGTCTGACTAGCATGATGTTAGAATTGTAATTTATTTTTGCTAGTTTTTGCATAAAATGTGAGTTTTTGTTGAAAGATGTTGTTAGTTGCTTGAGGTTGTATTATGTCTAGAAGGAACTTTGACAGTCTGCTACAAGGGAAACCTGTGCTGCTACAAATCGGTCTGAGTGGCGCATCATCTTTGGGATTTTTTGGTACTCCATGGTCCATTTTTGGTACTTTGTAGTGTGGTGTTAATGTTCTTTTTTGGTAGTCTTACAGGTATTCCTTAAATTTGTGCAATGTTTTTTATATTTTTTCCAATCACTGAAAAACTTTTTTTTTGTTTATTTATAGCAATTTTATTTTTAAAACATGTTTAGTTCAGACGTATTGTGCATATTTTTACAATTATAATAATATGGTCTTTAATTATAAAGTAATATAATATTCCACCGCTACTAACCTTCGCAGTGGATGTGATTATTTAAAAGAAATTAACTTTATTTTTGTTTAAAGAAATAAAAGAATTTGCTAGCAAATACCCGTTATCAAACATTGTAGATACCGCCACTGATAATTCACATGTTGCGTCATAAGACGACCACTGAAATAATCTTAACGCTGATTTGATCAAACAAAAAATGTATTTACAACGAATGTGGAATGTGTAGTGTTCGGTGACTCCGCTAAGTCGGTGTAGATACCTGCAAATTAATTCTCCTTAACTCAAAACATCAATAAATCTGGTTTTATTTAGTTTAGTTTGATTTAGTTGATGACAATTACCTTTTAGGTGATGGGTAAAATAATGTCGCAAATATTGGGCAAGATCTTATTATGTTTGGTTTTCATGGTGGCTGTGGTTCAGTGCTACAACGTTTTAATAGTTTTTCCAGGGCTCTCACATAGCCACTTCAAACTAGGAAATTCTCTAGGAAGAGCATTGGCCAAAAGCGGTCATGATGTGACTGTGGTAAGCCCTTTCGAGGATAAAAATCCTCCTAGTGGTTATAGTGAAGTAAAGCTAACTGGATTTTTTGAAAAAAGAGATGGTATGTAGAATATACCTATTTGTATAATATTCTTGTCTTATTACCATATCTAACTAAATAGGTATATTTATTAAAAGTAACGGTGCCCTTACAATATCTACTTTCGTTAAACATTACCTAAATTTGAATAGGGAATTTATGATTTTTTTTAATAATTAACTAGCATTTGTGAAAAGGCCTTTTTAGAAAATTATTTCTATGTTCAGTTATTCATTTTTGGAGTATGATCTATATAATATATTGTTTGGTATGCACCACAAGTGATATTTTATACTCCAGAGGCTTCTCTATAGATTTCTCCGCCTAGGCTTCTTCCCTCTATTTTTAATATTTGTTATATATTATATTTATCCAAATGACTGTTCGCTTCTAGAGGCATTTTAATAACATTTTCTTCAAAAGGTTTTCTATATTAACGGTTAATACACTTAATATTAACCAAACGTAATATTTTTTTGTCTTTTGCATTAGAGTAGTTTAATGAAACTGATCGTTTGTTTGTACCGGGTGGTCCAATAAATCTCTCGGCTATATTATATCAGAAACTATTCATGTTACAACTTTTGGAGAAAAAATTCCTTAGTAAAAGTGGCCAAGAGAAATCGCTGGAAATAACTTTCAAATTTCTGGGTTAACCGCTAGGGGGCGTAACCTGTGAAAAAAAATTTGAAAACCAGTTTTTTGTGAAATATGCCCAATTATACCAATTGTTAAATATGTAAACTAGAAAGAGGCCTAAATTCCGCTCAAAGTTGTTCAAGTACTTTTTTTTAATTTCTCAAATAAAGTATGGAGGACAGTGGAAAAGTATTTGTGGATAAATACCTATAATTTTGGTTTGGATCAACCGATTTTAACGAAATTAGTGTCATTAGAAAGAGTGTGGATAATTTAATTTAAATATACTATAAAACAATTGCATTTAGTTTTACATGGGTAGAGGGTACTTTCGAATAGAAAAAATTAAAATTAGTTTTTCTTTAAAATGTTAAGTAAAAACACCTATTTATTGTAAATTATAATGAAACTGGATTAAATTCGTAACAAAATGGCGCAAACCGCATGTTGATAGCTTTTGTCGAACTCGAGATATGAATAAAAACGCATATACATAAATAACTATAGTATTGACTCAGCCTTTATTATAACTTAAAATTAAATATGTGAAAGATCATACAAATATCACGATCATTAAAACTTAATGTCCAATTAAATGTTCAAATTGTTTTCCATCGTTGTCCACACAAAGATGTAATCTTTTGCACATAGACATAAGAGCTGCTTCAATCTCAGCTGTTGATATACTATTTATTGCGTTTATAATGCGCCGTTTCATGTCGTCCTGCGTGGTTGGTCGAGTTTGGTACACTACAAGTCCTTCAATCTTCCCCATAGATAAAAGTCCAGACCTATTAAGTCTGGAGATCTAGCTGGCCTAGCTGATCTAGATGAAAATATACTTCCCCTTCCAATCCCTTTATTTGGATAACTTACATACAAATAATCTCGAACTCATCTGGAAAAGTGTGCAGGATACCTGTCATGTTGTAATCTCATATATCTTCTTGTTTGTAAGGAAATATCTTCCAATAATAGAGGCAACTGATTTTCCAGAAAATCCGAATATGTTTCGCCATTTAAAGTTCTATCAAAGAAATATGGACCTACGATCTTTCCATCAACTATATCACACCAAACATTAGCACTCCATCTACCTTGAACCTGCACCTCATGTATCCAGTGCGGATTTTCTTCAGCCCAATAATGCATATTATGCAGATTAACACCACCCGGACTATTAAACGTAGCCTCGTCTGTCCTCAAAATCTTTGACATAAGGATACAGTCTAAAAAACAGAGCAACAAATATTGGTGAAAAAGAAACCACTATATTTACTAAAACTCAAAAAATCTTGAAAATTCTACAATTGTTTCACAAGATAAATCGTGCATAAGTATTTTTAAGAAACTGATAGCAGGATAAAAGCTCCATGTTGCCGTTTTTATTGAAATATTAAAATATCAGTTGAATCTAAAGTTTAAAGGGAATTCCAAGTTTCTGACCTAAACTTTTACATTATAATATGAAAAACCAACCTGTGATGCTTTTAAAATCCTTAAAATAGTAGTTTTGGGTATGTTTAATTCTATAGAAATTTGCCGATTACTTATATGTGGATTCTGTTGAATTAAAGCAAGAACATTAATTTAATTATCTTCGGTCATACCTTTACTACGTCGTTTAAAACAAGGACGATGAAAACTACCGGTTTCTTTTAATTTTCTTGTCTTTCTTGTAAATACTTCTTTGCCATAATGTCTCCCGTCAGGATATCTTACAGAATATATACGTGAGGCAATAGCGGCATTTTGGTGACATTCGAAATGAACTCCAATCATATCATACAATTCTGCATTTGATATACTCATCACGAATTATTAGTACTGATAATTAATTAATAATAATATAATATTAAATTCGAATCTTCAATTCGAATTATAATAGCACTTCTTAACAACGTCTTGACTGCTGTCAATAAATAAACAATATCAACTCCCCGTCAAATTCATTGTCGTAGCTTACTTAGTTTCAAAAATATTATTTTTAATCATATGATATAACAATTGTCAAAATAGGAAAGTACCTAGACTTATTTTTTAATTTAATTTATAATACAGGGTGAGTCAATACTATACTTACTTATGTATAGGCGTTTTTATTTATATCTTGAGTTCGACAAAAGCTATTGACATGCGGTTTGCGCCATTGTGTTACGAATTTAATCAAGTTTCATTATAATTTACAATAAATAGGTGTTTCTATTAAACATTTTGAAGAAAACCAAATTTTTATTTTTTCGATTTGAAAGTACCCTCTACCTATGACAATTAAAAATAAATGCAATTATTTGCAGTAGATGTAAATTAATTCATCCACACTCTTTCTAATAACACTAATATCTTAAAAGTCGGTTGATCCAAACCAAAGTTATAGGTATTTATCCGATAAAAGTACTTGAACAACTTTGTGCAGAATGTAGGTCTCTTTCTAGTTTACTTATTTAACACTTGTTTCTTATTTAACACTTTAATTCCTAAAGGAATTTTTTCTCCTAAAGTTGTAACATGAATAGTTTCTGATATATAGCCCAGATATCGGCTTATTGGACCACCCGGTACAGTTTTTGAAGTGACTACTTTTCTGTAGCGCATCCAGGAGGGAAGATTGCAGGTTAGAACCCCCCGAAGCACATAAAATAAAAAATATATAAAGAATAGTAGGAACATGTAACTTGTCCTACAAAAAAATTCAAAACGCTAATTGAACAATTAAATTACCACTTTAAATATATAGAACACAATAATTATTGTATAAATACACAATAATTAATACACAATCATTAATACACAATAATTACTAATATTTTTTATTATACTTAGATATAGAGATCTAATATTAGGCTTATGAAAAAGTAGATAGAATGATTCTGTTGCGACTAGCATGCGCCTACAGGAGTGTATCTGCGGCGGACTGTATCTTTAGTTTGCAGCCAATTAATTTGGACTTATGTATACTTGATTGCCTATCTATAACCACAAAATTTTACCGTACTTTAGTCTACCTAGATTAATTTATAGAACAATTTTTTTTCAATGTTTGCAACATAAATTTAGGACAAATTCACATTACAAACTACAACATTTATGGTTGCTACCGTTATATTATTATAATTTTAACTTCTTCTTCTTCTTCTTCTTAGCATTCTGTCGTCCATGTTTGGACATAGGCCTCTCCCAACTCCTTCCATCAGTCTCTATCTTGAGCAACATATTTCCAATTTGTTCCGGCTATTCTTTTAATGCCATCAACCCATCTCATCTGTGGTCTTCATCTTGGTCGTTTACTTTCGTAAGGTCTCCAATGTTGTATTGTAGTATTCCAACATTGGTCTTTCTGTCTAGCAGTGTGGCCCGCGAAGCTCCATTTAAGTTTGTCAATTTTTGTTGTTATGTCCTCGACTTTTGTTTTGGATCTTACCCAGTCGTTCCTCTTTTTATCTGACAGTCGTATACCTAACATTGCTCTTTCCATTTTTCTTTCTGTTGTGGCTAGTTTATTTATGTTTGCATTGGTTAGGGTCCACGTTTGACATCCATATGTCATGATAGGAAGGATGCATTGGTTGAACACTTTGCTCCTCAAGTATTGGAGTATTTTGCGGTTCTTAAGTATCCAACTAAGTTTTCCAAATCTTGCCCATGCTAGTCTTGCTCTTCTAGTAATTTCCGCACTGTGTTTCTCTTTGTCAAGTCTTAGGATTTGGCCTAGGTAGATATATTCCTGGATTTGTTCTATCTCACTGCCGTTTATAATAATATGTCTGGGGTCATCTGTGTTTGTCATTATTTTTGTTTTTTTTTTTCATATCCATTTTTAGGCAGACGTATTGGGAGCTGGCTGCTACTTCCCCAACATAATTTGCAGTTCTTCGAATGTGCTCGCTATAATCACTATGTCGTCAGCGAAGCTGAGGTGGTTTAACTTGTTGCCATTAACATTAATGCCATATGTTGACCAATTTGTAGTTTTAAAGACGTTGGCGTCTATAATTTTGATGATTTTTTTGAACTCCCAGTGCGGGTCTTAGATATTTTAAGCCTCTGTTATTTTCAATGACTCGCTCTATTAAGTTCTCGTTCCATTTTTGTATGTCGCGTTTTAGTTCTTTTCTAATTGTTTTATTAAGTTCTCTATATTCTTGAGTATGGCGTTTGTTTTGCGCTAGTAGTTGTCTTCTTTCCGTCATTAGCTGTTTAGTTTCATTGCTTATTTTGTCTTTTTTAGTTCTTGTTTTCTTTCCAACCTGTAGTCCTGCTGCGAGAAGGTTTTTATTTAGGTTTTTATTAATCTCGTCAATTTGATCTTGATTATGTGAAGGATCAGATTCGAACTTCTGTTCGACCTGCTAAGATCTGCTAAGACCTTTCGGAATTGCTCT